AATTCCCTGTCAGCGATCCAGCCTGAAAACCAAAACTATGAAGCCCTTGGGGGTTGATACACAATGCACATTGAAACCAAGTGAAGAATGAAAAGCCCATAGGCTTGTTAAAGAAATAATAACAATGGAATGGCCTTGCAAACCATCTATTCATCAGATCCCAGATTTCACAATCGGGGACTTGAGGTAAATCTGGCCCTCAGATTAAATGGCACAGGACAGAGAAATATAAATAGGATGTATTAGCTAGCAAATAGGATGTATTAGCTAGCAAAAACTCAAATGTGCCCCTTCCCCCTCAAGTCTATAGATCACAAGAGCCCTTAGGAAAATTAATTCAGAATGGCAGCGCCTTAAGCATCAATCTTATATTTGGGGAAGGTAGCTTAGGTTTTTGGCAGCCAGACACACACACACACAAAAACAAACAAACCTGGAAATTAAGCTCTGAGTGCCACACTATTATGGTAGTTTTGGCATTTCTTCTCTCCCTCTCCCTCCACCCCCAGATACTGTATGTCACATGTTTACTGAAATATAACATTTGGGACAAAGCACTTTGAAAACAAAGCTGAACATAGTTAACATTCCAGTGTTTGGGTTTCGACACCCAAGGCAGGCTTTTATTTATCTAATGTGATAGAAATTGAGGGGAAATTAGTCCTGGCTGAAAGGTAGCTCCTCTTAGTGAGGTGTTCTTGTGTTAAATGCTTCCCTCTCTCCCTCTGCCTCATTGTATGCTGAGCAGCGAAAGAGCAACGCATTATATTATCAGGAGTTAAATCAAGATACGGCTTTCTTATTTTCATTTCTCGTGCCTGAGGCTTCTTTCCTTGTGTCCATCTACAACTGTGCCTGCCCCACTCATGGCTGCTTGGAGATCACCAAGAATTTAGAATGCCGCCTAGTGAGGAAAAAGTAATGTACTGCTATTAATTGCTATCCTCTCTGAATCCCTGAGGGTTCTCCTCAGCACTGATTTTGATGTTGGGCCAACACCTCTTCAGACTTCTGCCTTGTTATGCGTGTAAAGAGGGAGGGAGACTCAGGAGGCTCCTTTCCCTTCTCTCCTGCCCTCTTCTTTTCTTTTGGCTGAGTGGCCTCTACTGATACATACATACACATGTACATACATATGTACACACAAACACACACAGGTAGCTGGCTGAGGGGTTTCTTCAGCTCTTTTCAGCCTGGTCTGTGCTGGTAGCAAAAATCCTTTGGAGGACGAAATGCAAGAGTTTGGCTGAAATGCAAGAGTTTGGCCTTGTCTCCTGTTCTTAGGCGACACGGTCTCCTGTAGCCACAGAGAACAGGAAATTCGTGGTAAGGAATGTACTATTCCTCCCTCAGATTTTTAAATAGTTCTGCACCTGGAGCCTACTAAGGAAGGGCAACACACACAACTAACGTGGTAAATGTTTTCAGCCATTTGTGTCCTGATAAAATTTGAACCAGCAACATGAGTTATGACTGGAAGCATTACTGTCTGAGCAAATATTTTTCCAGGTAAAAATTTTATGGCAGCCTTGGCTGTTTCACCTTTTCATGTGGACATATTTTTGCGGATTAATGCTAATACCGTGCCAAAATCAACACAATCGGCTGTTTGGTAAGTAAGTTACTGAGGATTTATTTTTGCAAGTTGAGTAGATATTTTGTGGTTCTTCACAGCAGTTTCCCCAAAATGCAAATATTTATGTGTAACAGTATGACTAATCATAACTTTGCCTTCATTATCTTGCAGTTTTAGACGAGGAAGGTATCCAGAGAAAATCCTACTGGCTAAATAACAAATTGGTAATTTAAAACCATTAATTTTTATATCACATAATTACAGTATAAAATTACATTTAATAACTTAAGGTGCATGTTCCATAATTCCTAAGAGCTTCTAATAGATGCAAGTCCGAGAAATCTGTTTTCAGTTCTCATTAAAATGCCATAACAGGCTCAGATTAATACATGCATATTCTAACACAGAAATGCTCATTTTGGACACATTTGCAAGGAAGTACCAGTGTGTGAAAGTTCAGATTTCGTTTTCTTTAGTACTTCCAATACAGTACTTACCATGCTTGTAAAGTTGTTGCTGTTAAGCAGCATTTATTTTTTGCAATCTGACTTTCTCAAACCATAACCATGAGCTGATCATAAATATGAGTGGTCCCAGCCGTTTTTTATTTTACTTTTGTCTGGCTGATACACAAGTCTTCATGAAGCAAAGTAGCATGGCATCCGTGGACTGAAAAGGGGCAGGGGGGAGCCCAGCCGCCTCCCTCTTCCTTCTCTTTCTCTTTCACAATGCTGTCAGGAAGGAAAGTCTCAGCCAGAGTTATATGGATTAGGGAAGGGCTTACGCCATGCATGTAAAGAGAGGCCAACTTGCCATTTAGAAGTAGCATCATGCATTTCTGACTCATTCCCCAAGACTTCAAGCAGGAATCTCTCCCAACTCTACCTGTCGATTCCAGGGATTGACCTGGGAACATCTGCATAAAAGGAGATAATGTACCACAAAACTATGAACTTTCCCCTAATGAATGAGTTAGTTTTTAAGGCGCCACAAAGACACTTTGTTGGGATGGTGCAGTAGTGGTCTCGACTACCCCGCTGCAAATTGTTATAATGAAACATAATCTCTGGTCAATAAAAGTGGTTCTCCAGGGGTTTTCTTCAAAGACTAGCCTAATTTATTCATGGTCTCAACTCCTCACAAACCTGCACAACAAGCTGAGGTCCAGCTGTACCCATCCTTGCAGGAGATGAGGGCAAGAATATGGTCCCAGTTGCTTAAATGATCCCAAGATACAGCATCAACAAATTTGCCATCTTTCCTAGAGCAGTGAATTGGAATGTGTTACCATGCCAGCATCCCTGAACATGAATCATCACACGGGAGGTACCTGTCATCAACACAGAGAGCTCAAGTAGCACTGCCTGGTGATGCTAATAACATGTCCTGCCTGAATGTAGATACAACTGCCAGACTAACCATGATCTTTGAAGGAAGTTCCATTGATTTCAGAGGAATTTACTTCTAAGTAAGTGTGTTTAGGATTGTTGACTAAATATGAGTTACAGAAAACAAGTACACCAGAGCAATGGGGACTTTCAATTCAAAACAAGAGAGTAACTCTTTCCCTATGAAATATTTTCTGTATAAGAAATTATCTGTCAATGTCAAGCTGATATGCTTACAAAACAGATGTGGAAGAATGCTAGAGGCCCAAGAAGCACAAATGGTTAGTGCTAGGCAAATTGTAAAATCTTAACTTCAGATAAACACCCAAAGGAGCTCTTTGCCTTGAGAGTTTTCAGCACTCACTGTAGGTCACGACAATACACAATATGCTGTTTCATTGAGAATGTAAGAATTTCCATTCACAACCATCTCTTTACTGTTGAAGGGAATGTAAATTAAATTGATAATGTGAGAAATGGGAACAAAATCTCTTCAGGTTACACAACCTACTGCTTCACATGGCTTGTAAAGACTTACATACACTTACTTGCTCAGGCCCATGAGATTGGAGTGTGTTCTTATAGCAATGTGGAAAATGAATTGTTATCAAGGAGCTGTAGCTGGCCTTGCACAATTAACCCTTCCTGTCACCATAAACTCAACAGCAGTGATTCTAACGCTGACTTGGTTGCTTGCAGGAGCACTTCTTGTGTAGAGAGAGCCCAGGTGTAAGTTAATTACTTTGCTTGCCTGTTGGCCTAGAAACCCCCAAGCCAGGTGAAGGTAGTAACAATCAAGACAGGTGAAGGTAGCTTAAAAAACACAGGGCTTGAGCTGGAGTGGAGGGGGCTGGACTTTGATGAAGGCTTAAAATGCTGTAGGTGCAGTATAGCTTGGCCAGACTGAGATCTACCCTGCTGCTACATCCCTGGGACTCCCCGCAGCTGAAATGAGGTATTGTTGTTTGCTTGGTACATTGGTCTATTCTATCCTTGTGCAAATGAAGGATTCTGTAAGGGCCTGGTACCCTTGAGCAAAGGAGAGATTGTTGTTTGCCTGGTACCCTGGTGTAAAGGAGGACCTGGTAGGTTAGTCTATTCTATTCATGTCTTTTCTTGTGTAAAGGAGGGATTCTGTATCCTTGTGTAGCCTGCTTTTCTTTAATGACTCATGAGAGAGAGTATTTGGGATGAGAACATGGTACTGTGTATATCTAAAAGGAAGGTACACCTATATACTAGGACTACAAAAATGCTTGGGCCTGGAATGCAATAGTCTAGTTGTGCTTCCACATATTCATTACTATTGCACATCAGTGGGTGGCAGGGATGCCAACTTGAATAAAATTGTGGGGGCCCAGGTAAGCCCCCCCCCATAATCAATTGCATGACCCAGTGCACACACCTCATTTAAATGGGAATGCCCATAAACTTTGTGGGAGCCCGGCCACTTCAAATATTTTATTGTGGGGGCCAAAGCCCTCATGGCCCCTAGGAGTTGGCTCCTATAGTGGATGGAGGTGTGTGTTCCCCACTCCTTTCCCCTCAATCGCTGTTCTTCCACTCTCTGCTGCCTTGTTCTGTTCTGGGCATGTGCATAGGTATGTTTGTACCTGTGGAGCTGCACCTTATTTTTTTTAATAAAAAAACCCCACATACATTTGAAGGGCCCAAGAACAAATATTGCCAACCTTATTATATTTTACAATGGACAAAATGGAGACTTGTGTTTTGGGGATAGGGAGGAATATATGTTTCCATTTGGATCATAATGAATAATATTGATACAGAAGTGTAGCACAAAACCACTGCAGAATTATTATTGTTAATTAAAGTTAGATTATGTACTGCGATCGCTGTTAATGAGGTAATCCGCATATGCACTGTATGAAGATTTTGAGAGAACAGCTCCTGTTGATGAGGTTCAGACATGCTTTCTGCATGCAACAGTTTGTGGAAACAGACATGCTTGTATTATATGGACCTCAAAAAATAATGGTGGTTTTGAAGTAGGAGAGGGTGGCATTAGAGGCCAGCCTCTGGAAACTCAGTCAGCAGAACATGAGACTCTTAATCTCAGGGTCATGGGTTCGAGACCCATGTTGGGGAAAAGATTCCTGTGTCGCAGGGAGTTGGACTAGAAGACTCTTGTGGTCCCTTCCAGCTCTACAATTCTGATTCTGTATGACAAGTCATGCACCAAATAAATGCACTAATGCAACCTTTCCCAACCTGTTGGCTGCCAGATGTTGTTAGACTACAACTCCCATCAGCCCCAGCCAGTATAGCCGATGGTCAGGGATGATGGGAATCGTAGTCTAAACAGCTAGAAAGTTAGCAGAGCAGAGGCAGCACTAAGGAGATTTCACACCAGCAGTGACTGCAGATTGTTATGGAGAAATCTAAATTAAAATTGAAAATTAAACAGGTTGGCATTTTGATGATGGCATGTGGATGCTGCAAAATCTTGTGCGCATGAACAGCACAGATTTCACAACAAACCCGCATCTGGAAGCACCCTATAATGTGCTTCTATGTAGCTGTGACTGCCAAAAGCTTAAAACAAGATGGAGATTCCTTGTGTTGCCTTTGCATAATGTTGGCTGTGGAAATACAACAAAAGAAAGTTGAGCAATCAATCAATTTCCACATAAGAGATTTCTTTTTCCAAAGAGCAGAAGGCCTTGTGGCACTTCCCATAAACCTGGAATATCCTGAATATAATTGCAGCGTCTCCTGCAGGTGTGAGACAATCCTGTTTGGGGAAGGAGTGGGTGAAGAGACAACAGAGTTTGAAGAATCAGGAGAAATATTCTCAAGGGAGGTTTTCACTAGCAGTCGAGGTTGCCAACTTGAATAAAATAATGGGGGTGGAGTGGGGGCAGGTAAGACACAGTGTACACACATCATTTGAATGGCAATATCCATTAACTTTCTGCTGCCTGGCACCCTCAAATATTATATTGGGGCGGGCAGAGCCCCCTCGGCCCCTGGGAGTTGGCTCCTATGCTAGCAATGCTGCTGTTTGCCCTCAGTAGGGCTGTAGAACTTTCGGGGTTGTAACAGTCCTTTTACAAATGAAAGTTGGGATTGTAAAATTATCTGCGTTGGCCCCACAGCCAGCCTTTGTGAAACTGAAAATAAAGTTGGCAGGAGCCCTCTAGGCAGACCAAGCGTAAATGCTGACCTGTGCTCCTTATTTACTGCTACCTTTTCATTTGCTCATCATGAGAATCGTGTGGTGAATCTGTGTGGAATGAATGTTATTCACATAGTGCTGTCTGTTAAGGACTTGGGAGAGAAGTGTGTCTCCCCTGTGATGAATGACTTCATTGCTCCACTTTTGGTCAGGTCATTCCTCGCAAGTGACGTCTGGCAGCTATCTGTCTGTGACATAGTCTGTTTACCCAGCTATGGAAATATTTAAAACAAACTGTAATGACATTTTCTTCCTCCAGAAATACATCTGGAGAGAGCTTAGCTATGTGGGCAGTAGGTGTAAACAAATATTTGGAGTCATCCCGACCTCTTTACTTTCCCTTTCCCCACCCCCTCTTTTTCTGCATGTTCATGCAGAGAAACAACATTTTAGTCTACTGCATTGACTAAAAACGCGGAATCCTGAAAATCACCCATTTTCCTTTGGGGTGATAGCTGAGTGATGGGCAGGTGGATACCCTGAGCCATCCAAGCTGTGTGTGAGCAGCCGCCTCTTGAGTTGTTACTTTTGCTTCTCTCTCTCCAGATGTATTTTATGTACCTCTGCTAAAGGGCACTTTAGGTATTCTTGTGAGGAGCTCTTTAAACCAGCCGTATGTGAATCTTCATTGAACTTACGCCAACACCACGTTCTGGTTTGATCTGCGTTATTAATTGCTTATCAAAAGGGAAAGAGGCGACAGCGCACAAAGCAGAAAGTGCATAGCATAAAGCAAACGGCGGAGCCAGTGACCTTTCCAAGCCCACAGCCTCTCTCCCTCTCCCTCTCTCTAATGCCACATTGATCAGGACCTTAAGGGGGAACTGTGCTAAATGATGAGGGCAGCAAGGTCCTTGGCCATCTGCTGTTTCCCAGACAAGAGCACTGGAGGCTCAGATTATGCTGATCTGCATAATCCATTATTATTGCTGTGAGAATTCGAGAGTGTGGTGCGGCTAACTTGCCTGCCGTTTGAGGCTTTTTCTGTTATGTTGCAGTGGCAGGAGAGGCATGGCCTGTATCCTTGCAGCAGGACTGGGTCTGTGGCTTGCTGTTTGTAGGTGGGGGTGAGGGGCAGAGCGGCCATTTTGCCAGGGCCTCAATTTGGACCGGGGGGAGGGGAGGATTTGATAAGTTTTGCAACTTGTTTTTGTGCACATAAGACAAAAATGCGGCACAATCTTTCAGCTCGGAGCCACAACTTGAAGCAAATAAGATATGACTTCATAAAATACATGCTTTTGCTTCAGTAATTAGTGTATTTGCACCAGAGAGGGATAGAAAAGCATTCAGTCAATAATTGAAAATAAAATAGAATTGTGTGCTTTTCTTTGTTGTCTTGTTTTCCTGTGCTGTCATTTTTTAAAAAATAAATAAATTTTTGGTTATGCCTAAGGGACTTAAAACCTGGAAGTGGCCTGGACCTGTGAGAAGGCCTGGTTGTTTGTGCAAGAACAATACCTCTTGGTTTGCTCAGCAGTGCATCCATTTTACATTCTGGCAAATGGGTCTGCTGCAGTATTGCACTAGACAGTGGTATCCCCCCCCCCCGTTTCCTCCCTCCCCGTTTAGAGAAGGTTTCTCAGCACAGAAAGCAACCTTGCCAAGAAATATACAGTGCATGGGAATAGTTTAGAAATGATGTATCCAGGCTGAGGAAGCACTTGGATTCTTTCAGAGGGGAGCAGCTGAGAGGGAATTAGCCATCCAGAGAGAGAGTGGCTGCTTGTCGATCTCCCAGTGATAATACCGTAACTAAAATTAACCATGTCAAAGTCCAGCTGTCTAGCCAGCCTCTCCCTATAAATTGTTGTTTGGGTTGTGATAACTGCTGATAAAAGAGAAATGAAATAAGCTGATGCAACCCAGGCGACATAAGGGTTTGCTTTGGTGTACCTTAACAGGTGGGCAAATTGGGGTGATCCAGTTGCTTCACTTCTGCTTGTTTGTGTAAATGGCAACTTGTGTTCTGCCTGGCTGCTCCAACGGTGAGTGTGTTTTGTGTGAGAAGCATATAACCCTAAATGCTGACCACTGCAGGTATTGTGTGGACTTTGAAACCACTAATTCTGAAGGGACTCAGTGTTTTGCAACAAGGTGTTTTGCTTGCTGATACTTTCTCTTTGGAGATGTGTCCTTGTTTCGAACTGGTGATTGCTAACTTGGCTTAACAGCTGGGGATAGACCTCAGCCAGGGCCTGCCTTTGGTCTCGAGCATTTTGTGTCAGGCAAGTGGGTAGATGATGATGATGATAACAATAATAACAATAATTTATTTATACCCCGCCCATCTGGCTGGGTTTCCCCAGGCACTCAGACCAGCTCCCAACAGAATTTAAAGCACAATAAAACATCAAACATTAAAAACCTCCCTTAACAACAACAACAATCATATACCACCCTTCATCATAAGATATTAGTTCACAGAATATAATACAAGATAAAAACACAAGTAAACAAAACAGAACAACCAAACAATACCCCCCAAGCTTCCGAGTCTGCTGCTGCCCCAGCCACTCAAATGAGCACTTTGTGGCCCCATGCCAGGAACCAGGAGCAAGCAACACCCATTATTCTCAACCATTCTCAGAAGTATATGAGTCCCCACCCCAGCACTTTGGGCCAGACTTCCCCCACCTGATGACCTACATATCCCCCCATCTGTGACCAGCAGCCATGCCAGATGGGGCTGAGGGGCTTTTCAGTCAGGCACCTGGAGAGCGTCAGGTTGTGGAGGCTGCTTGTGGCTATTATTGATCCTAAACGAGGGATGGGGTAGGGGGGATTCTTTCTGCATAAGGTCTGACTGAGCAGAAGCCCAAGGCTGCCCTTGCCACCACTACCCAAGAGCACAGAGGATCAGATGTTGAATGATTTTCTAGCTAACAGGAGGTGCTTCTGGGCCTCTTAATGCAACCTCACTTCACTCGAGATGGGTTTTGAGAATGTGCTCTTGCATGTTTTCATCCACAGCTATTCTCTGGAGGGTGGGGAAGAAACTCAGACTTAGCCTACAAAAAATCCCAACACGGGCAGTATAACACTGACTTATTTTTTTTAACCAGCAGCTTCAAATGGTGGCAAATTTACATAGCTCCCCCAAAATCCTAACCCAGTGTTATGATTAGAAAGTGCATTGTGCGTTAATTACTTTAATGAGTGAAATAAGAACGTTTCAGGCAATTATAGCTTAATAGGCTTGTGCTAATTAGAAATTAATTTCAACAACTAGCAGGCAAATCCTTTCTCTGTTTTAAACCTGTGCTTTTCATTCTACTCCCTGGATACTGAAGCAAAGTCTGACAAAGGAGCTTGTAATTTAACACAAGCCGTCTGGAGACTCACAAGGCAGGACCCAGCAATTGCCTGTTGCAAATCCTCCCTTCAGCTAATGAAGTTTTTACTAGCTTATAAACCTCACATAAAAATGGCATGGAAACGGCAACTATGCTCTAAAACTCACTGATGCACTAAGGAAGTATAAACTGTCATGGGAGGGGAGGGTGTCTACTGCTAGGCAGGCTATTTCTCTTCGTGTGGAAAAAGGCAAGGGGAATGACATTTCTTTAAATCCTTCCCAGGTGTTCTGATAAAATAGCTTTTGTAGGACTGTCATACCTGATAGAAACCTCTCTCTTTACAAGGAGACTGCTCATAAAAGCCAAAATACTGAGATCTAAATTCAGAACTATCAAATCAGAGTGGTTTGGGATTTTTGACTTTTTGCCGGGATAGAGGCTGGTTATCTTTGTGTGTCTGTTTTGTCTTTGCTTAAATGAAACACTTCCCTCAGATTTGTTTGGCGGAAGCAAGCTTCAAGCAGCTATTCTATTTTCATTTGATATAAATACCATCAAAGTGTTTGGGGCTTCTGTGTTTTTGCAGACCAAGTATCCAGTTTCCATGTGTT